GACAGATCTGGTCTCCAGGCGCGCTCCCGGCACAGCTCCCAAACCCTCGGGGTTTCCTAAGTGGAGGAGCAGAAAGGTGTCTCTAGTGCTAACAGGAATTTGGAAAAGCACCTGGCGGTGGGGGCTGGTTGCCACGGAGACCGCCCACGTGGTAACGGGGGCGGGGCTGTCAGCCCCACCCCCTGACCTCGGGAGGAGGGGCTGCAGGGAGACCGCCCACGTGTTCACAGGAGCGTGGCTATTGGCCCCACCCTCTGACCTCGGGAGGAGGGGCTACAGCGGGACCGCCCACGTGGTTACTGGGGGAGCTGTCGGCCCTACCCCCTGGCCTCGGGAGGAGGGGCTGCAGGTTGGATCCATCACCAATGGCCGATATTTCATCAATCAGGCTCCTGTAATGACACCCCCATAAAACCCAACAGACGGGTCCCGAGAGCTTCTGGGTTGGTAAGCACGTGGAGACGGGAGGACAGTGGGCCCCGGAGCGGCAGGGAGTTCGGCGCCCCCTCCCCATCCGCGCCCTGGGCAGCTCTTCCTTCCCTCTGTTCCTGACTTAATCCTTTTACAACAGACCAGCGATCTAGTGAGCGATCTGTCCCCCGAGTCCTGTGAGCGGCTCCAGCCAGTTCACCAAACCCTGGGAGGGGTCGTGAGAGCCTCTAGTTTGTAGCTGGTGGGTCAGAACCCAGGTGACACGTGGACTGGTGTCTGGAGGGGGGAGGGGCCGTGCTGGAGGATGAGCCCTCAGCTTGGGGGGTCTGACGCTGTCTCACCGGGTAGATGGTGTCAGAGTCAAGGCGAATTGTAGGAGCCCCAGCTGTGTCGTGTTGGAGAATTGCTTGTTGGGGTGGGGACCCCCTACACACTTTGGAATTGGGTGTGAAGCTTTTAAAACCTCAGGAGGAAATGTGCTTCTTGAAAACAAAGTTTGAAGACTTTGCGTGAAGGGGTGATTTGCTCGCAAGCCTCATACAGGAAAGAGACAGAATGATGGAGTTCAGGATATGAGCTGTTCTGTCATTTCTGATCCAATACTTAGCCTTGATATTTGTTTGCAAAGTGGGAAAAAATGAGAGAATGTTTCATTACAAAATTTGCCTCTGATGTATAGCAGCTTCAAATTTAATCCATGATAGATTTTTTTTT